ATCGCTGTGAACTGCTGACCCGGCTCTGGATGATCTACAGCAGTGACTGACGGCTGTTCAGGTTCTCAGCTGGGACGCCTGAGGAGGAACAAACCGGGTCCTGCTGCCAGATCATGACACAATAAGATGGGTGAATGTTTCTGCTGTTGTTCAAGCAGCGCTGCGTCTGTGGATGATCTGATCCCATCCACCGCTGCAGAGTATTCTCTCAAACCCTTAGTAGACTAACTGCTTCAGCTTAAAAACAAATGAGCGTTTATGAGGTGAAACTAGCTGAAGCTAACAGTCACATCCTGCAGGCCCTCTATACCGATCACACAGTTTGTTTTACTGTTAATATCCACCAACAGAAACTTTTTCTGTTTCATTTCCTGCATTTAAACGAACACAGCAGCTCTGTTCTCAACCACAGCGAGCTTCGTTAGCTCCTATTAACTCCACATCAGCATATAAAGCTGTTATATGAAATCATTTAAACCTGGTTGTTTCATATTGGAGTGATGAGAGCAGATCAGCTGTCGATATTCTTATGATTTCTGGAAACACGTCAAGCGGTGATCTCAGCACAAGAGCTACTGAACAGACCAGTTAGTTCCTGTTTCTGGATGATCTGCCAGTTGTTGCTGAGCTGTGACGCAACAACAACGTTTGCTGTTTGCAATAAAAGGAGAAACATAAAGACAAAAAATAAAATAAAAAATACAAATAATTTAAAAAATAATAATAAAAAATTAAAACAGTTAAATCAATTAAATGAATTAAGAATAACAACAAATAAATAAGATTATTTTTAAAATTTTTATTTATTTGTCTTTATATTTCTACTTTTATCACCTTTTCTTCTTTTTTTGATAAATATTGCTTTATATCGCCACACTATTTATTTTTTATTTTATTTATTCTTCTTTTTATTTCCACTTTTATTTCATTATTCTTTCATTGATTTATTTTAGTAATTTGGTGCTCTTACTGCCCCATATTAAGGATTGAAAATGCTAAATCACTTTATCTGTTTTTATCTGTTATCTTACAGATTTTCCCTTTTTGTTAAATGACAGATAATATCTAGTAAAATCACAGAAAACAGTATTAATTAATTTTAATGTTTAAAAAACTGTACATGATGTATAAAAAATCTGTATTTTTACAAACAGTAATTTGTTCTTTTACAGTTTTGCTGTATTTAAATCTTAAAAATAGAATTATTTTACAGATATCTGCTTTTGTTTGTAGGAAAACCATGAATATGAGGGTTTATTTCTTAACCGTTATTTTCCAGGTTTTCTCTGTGGTGGTAAATTTCAGATTATTTGTCGTAAAATCACAGAAAACAAACGTTGAAGCAAACAGGCTGTAAATAATCTGGATGTGTGCAAACAGCTGAAGCTCTGCAGTGTTTGACTGTTAAACTTCACTGTTTGCTGGGTTCAAATAGGATAAAAGAAAACAGATATTTGCTGTTATTTTCAACATTAAATGACTCCTCTGACTATTGAAGGGTTTTTTCTGGCCTCCTTGCTGCTAGATGTTCAGATCTCTTTTTACTTTCTGCTCCTCAGACCAACGGCTTCACTTGATCTGATGAGATGTCTAGTTTTTGGAATTAAGGCCCAAAAGTCTGCATCAGTGTGAAGAACCGGTCCGGCGCTGGAGCGTATCATGTTTCATCCTGCGGCTCTGGGAACCTCAGAGAGCGATAAGAGGCGAGATTTAAACCAGATTAACATGTGGTTCTGATCACGCTCTGGACTCCTGAACCCGGAGCAGCTGCTGCGATGCTTCTGAGGCGTTTAGCTCCTCTAATGTGTCGCCTCCAACACGGAACCACAACAACAACAACAACAACAACAACAACACCGCCGTGAGCTCTAAGTCTAATCCACCTGAACACATCAGCAGCTCTCCACAAACGCACACTGACGGATGTAGGTGACCCAAAAATGAGATGTAGGCCGGCGCTGATCTCAGAGGTCCAGACAATCGAGCGGCCTGCCAGTCACGGCGAGCGACGGCGACGCCCGGGACTCGTCTGGAACACCTTCGTTAAGGTGACGACACGAATCTGTGTGATGCTCAGTCACAGCAGCGCTCGTCAGACCAGAGTCCAGCCGGAGATCAGAGGAGGTTCTGCCAGAACTCTTTGTTTGACCTCCACACTGAGACGCTGCTGCCGAGCAAGATTCAGCTAAAACCGGATCTGAAGCAGCAGCTGATCGACAGAAAATCAATCAATCATTTAGCTTCTCTTCTTTGTTCATCGCTGTAGTATAACCGAGTGTTTTTAGGTTTGTGGAGCAAAACCTGAGCAGCTGTTTGTGATATTTAACAAACCAAACAAACAATTAAAAAAACACAAACCCTAATATTAACATACATGAAAGCTTTCAGTCAGTTTTAAAGGAAATATTTTCAGATTTCAGCTCCTCAAACACAACATTTGCTGCTTTTCTTCACTGATTGTCGCTGTAAACTGAATATGTTTGGGTCTGAACACATTTGAAAGACATAAAATTAACCTTAGAATTATTTTTTAAACATTTTATACATTAATTGAATAAATATTGTGTAATATTAATGCACATTATTCATCATTTTTCAGATTAACACATCTGCAGATTTCAGCTCCTCAAAACAGAGCATTTGCTGTTTTTCTGCTTCCTGTAAACTGATTATTAGATTTTTTGCATGTTTACGAGACGTCAGATTAACCTGAGCAGCTGTTTCTGATGTTTCACAAACCAAACGATGAATTATGTGGAATAAATAACCGACTAACTAAAACTACAGGTCAGCTGCAGCTCTAATCATAAAGTTAACCTACAAAACGTGGCTGATAATCGGTTGCTGTGATACAGTATGGCTGGACGGCTGCATGAACTGATCCATCGATCAAGTATTTTATCAATAAATCATTTTTAAAGCAAAAATGGCATCTCAGAACAGATATTTTCTGCTTCCTTCATCGCTGCACACTGAGTATTTGTAGGTTTCTGAATTAAACAAGACTTCCAAAGAGGTCGTCTTGGACTTTGGGAATTAATAGTTTTCACCATTTTCTGACTATTACAGAGCAAACAGCTGATTATTAATCCTGGAAGTGGTTAAATGAGCAGTGAACAGTACCGTCAGCTGGAGTCAGAACTGGAGGAAACTGATATTTTTGGGGCATTTTTTCAACCTAATCAGACTTTATTTTACACAGCGTACGTCTTGCAGTAAATTTAACTCCAAGTGTTGAACATAAAGAGTTAATAAAAACAGTAAAGTGCTGCTGGTTTGTGTTCAGCTGATGAAACGTCTCATGGAGGTCAGATCTGTGTGATAAACCTGACAGACAGAAGAGATTCAGCACTTGTCTTCTTGCTGTCTGTCTTTTGTTCAGGCTGTTTGCTTTAGCTGGAGCTGCTGCTGCTTTATCCACCTCCATCAGTGGCCTTGTCAGCAGCAGCAGCAGCAGCAGCAGCCCCACCCTGCCCGCCTGCCTCTGCTGCTGGAGGATCAGGCCTGTTTACCTGCTATCTGACACACTGGGCTCACAACAACAACAACAACAACAACAACAACAACAGCTCCTCCAAACATCTGAAATCAGCCCAAACGTTACACAAACGCCACTTGAGGAGCGTCCAGGACGGAGCTGGGAGGGACCGGGCCTGTGGAGCTCAGCTGCTCCCTCCCGGGTCTGGGGTGTTGGTTCGGGTGGAGACGGCTCGAGTGGGCGGATGGCTGCGAATGACGGGGGTGATAGAATAAAGCGCACAAGGCTGATTGAGGGCGCTGGAGGTGGTGAGGGAGCGGCCGGCCGGCCGGCGGAGCCGACAGGGAGGGACGCAGAGCGGATTCCTTTGTTGTGACTAAGCTCAGGCTCACCGTGCTGTGCTAACCAGCGCTGCTTCCATTATCGGACATGTGCTTGTCTACCACGCTGCCTCTTTTTCACTCCTCCAACAGCCAGATTTAATCAGACCGACCCACCTGACACCGTCTCACCTGCCTTATAACCCAGGTTAACAGCGTTCATGTCGCTGCTTTAATGTGAATCATCCCGTTAGCTCACACTGGAGCCCCGGAGCCAACCTGACAGCAGAAAGCGCACCATCAGGCGTGTTTCCTGCTCTTTGAGTTCACATTTCAGCGACACAACACACGTCTGATACACGATATGCGCCCATTGTTGGGTTTTATTTGTTTTCTCAACAAAAAGCCACAAACACCAGGCGTGTCCGATGATGGAACCAGCGTGACAACTGCCGTTAGCAGCGGACACGCAGCGGGGAGAGGCACCGAGCAGATGGGCGCCGCTCGGTCCGCCTCGGTAATCACACCCACGACGGCGAAATCAGCCGCACGCACTCCCGTTAGACCTTATTCTAAAGCCCCGACCGGCTCCGGGTGACCGGAGCGGGCTGTCGCTGGAGGCTAAATGCGGCAATAACCGCCAGCTCATCCAGGCAACAGTTAGCGCGTCCTGCCGTGTGCGGCTGAGAACAGGTGGGCCGCATCAGCGCCGCACCGGGGCTCGAGCCGCAGCTCCGGCCGCACAAATCTGCACACAAACACCCCGTTTGTTCTGCTTTTTCTCAATAAATTCACCCATGTGCTGTAAAGGGAGCTTCCCCATCACGGAGAGGCGAAGCAGCAGGTCCGCCTCCGGACCGTCCGCTCCCCCCGGGGTAGCATCACTAGCCGGTTAGCCGCTAACCGTCCCCGGCGCAGACAGCCCCGGTCTGGGCCACATTACCACCGTTTGGGTTGAATTAACGTGTACGGACGAGTAAAGTTGGTTAAAGCCACAGAAGGCATCCCTCCAGCCCGCTGGCGGCTCTCAGCGGGCCGCTGTGGACCGGATGCTAACGGCGGCTCACAGAACCGGGAAAACGGAAAACAGCCTCTAAAGCCCGTTTCACCGAATTCACTGCAAACTACGTAAAAACCACCGAATCTGATCTAAACCTGAAAACAGGTTCGGAAATGGAGGCTTTGTGGGCGCAGATACTCACAAGCTGCCGGAGCCGGAGGTTCCTCTGTCACCGCAGGTCGCTCTGCTGCCTCTGCGGGGGCTGGGGCTGCTGTCCGGGGTTCGGCCGCTGGGAGGGCGTCGCTCACGGGGGCAGGTTCTGGCTCCGGCGCGATCTTCGTGATCTCCGGCTCGGCTTTAGGGGCGACGACTTGTGGCTCAGGCTCGGGAACAAAAGGAGGTGATGACGTGGTGGAGTCTGGGATCTCGGGCTCCGGCTCGGGCTCCGGTTCGGGTTCCCTCACCTCTGGCACCGGCGTGTGTTCGGGCTCCGGTAACGTTACCGGCTCCTCCGGAGGGACGAAGGAAGTTTCTGTGAACTCGTGTGGCGCACTATCCTCGGCTATGTGCCGCTCCAGGGCGTCCTGAGCGCCGCCGACCAAGTCCACAATGTCATCCACGTCGAAGTGGTCCTGCTGGGGCTCGGGGTCCGGTTCGGCCTGGTAGTGGTGGACCTCCTCGTTGAACAGAGGGCTGGTGGAAGACACTTGCTGCTCCTCGCTGTCTGCCATTTTTCTTTTTTTCGTTTTTGTTCGTACAAATTGTCTCTTGAGGTGGAACAAAAAAAAAGTTTCGGAACCGGCAACTCTTCAGCTCCTGCTGCGAACTTCCCCCGGGGAGAGCTGTGGAACGGAACCGGCGCGTCTGCTCCTGACACCGGACAAAGTTGCACAAAGCGCCGCTCGACAGTCGCCACCGAGTCGAACCCGAGTCCCAGATGGAAGTTGAGAAAGGGCAGAGGGCCAACTCCGCTGGCCAATCACCGGCCGCTTGACCCCTGAGTGACACGAGCCGCGGCCAATCAGAGGGCGTGAAAGCAGGCGTGGGGGCGTAGCGGGACACCTCCGCCGTAAAACACCCCTAAAGTTTAGGAGGAGCACAAAGTGGAGTCAGTCCTGCTCTGACATAACTTCACATCCAGCAAGGCACTTTTTACATAACTCTCACTTATAATTGACTCCTCCTGCCTGCTGCAGGCCTGAAGGAGGCCTGCTAAACCAAAGGGGTAACTGGGTAACACACATACCGTCCAGCAACACACACATACTTTACTGATCCCCCAGAAAACAGGAGAACATTTAAACATCTGAGAATGAAGCTATGAAAACAGAAAGACATGAACACACACAAAACAGCCACAAAAATGTCCCATTGAGACACAAAACCACCACAAAGAGACAGAAGCATTTCTACAAGACACAATGACGAGAGACAAACAGCAACACAAAACAACCACAACAGAAAAACCAGCCATGAAGTGACCATAAATCACCAGAAACACCGAACAAAACACGACAAAACTGCAAAACAGCTACAAAGAGACACAAAATCACCACAAAGACAAAGAAAACAACCACAAAGAGACACGAAAACACCACAAAAAGATACAAAATTACTGCAGAGAGACACAAAACATCCACAAACAAACACAAAACTACCCGGAGTAACATAACAACACTAAATGAGACACAAAAAACACAAAACTTTTTTTTTTTTAAAAAAGGTGCAAAAAGTGATTTCTAAAATAACAAAAACGACCTTAAAGACACACAGAATTACCACAGAGACATACATTTACCCACAAATACACACAAAACAACCACAAAGACACAAAAACTGTAATCAGCATCTACAAAGACACACAAATAATCCACAGAGACCCAGAACAACCACAGAGAGACACAACATTTATACAAAAAGACACAAACGACCAATGAAAAGGCATACATCAACTATAAAGAGACCCAAAACGTCCACAGAGACACACAAACTGACCATGAAGCGAAACTAATCCACCACAAAACTACACAAAACCTCTACAAAGAGACAAAACAACCACACGAGACATCTACAGAGAGTCACAAAACTACCACAAAGAGACACAAAAGAACGGCAACGACGCACAAAACAACAAGAGAGACAAAAAATATTCACAGAGATGCAAATGACCACAAAGAACTACAACTACAGAGACACAAAATACCGACAAATGGATCCAAGTTGTCTCCAGAGCAACACAAAATAACCACATAGGGACACAAAACAACGACAAAAAGAGACACAATGAGCACAAAGAGGCATAAAACATGAAATAAGTAACAGAGGAAACAAAACAGCACAAGAGAAAAGGAGCCTTGAGATGTTTAAACAGGTATGTTGGTGTATAACACGGAACAGAGATTCATATTGATCACATGTTGTGTCCTGAAACGGGACACGTAGACACACCTGGACGATCAGAAAGACTAAAAAGTAAACTGTATGTTGGCATTTAGCAATCCCAGCTGTCACAGAGTGCAGCTAAAGTGCAATATTTCCTTCTAGAGTCCAGTTTAGAGGAACTAAAGGCAGCATAAAGAGGAAATAAGTAAGTTTCCACCACACACACATGTAGGTATCTGTGAACGGAGGGTTTCACAGCTCAGAAACGATGCATTCAGGACACGTGGGACATTTAAGTCAACGCTGGCTGCTGTGGTTGTGAACAATGCGTGACATTTCAAATCATACATCATCATGCTAGCTCACGTTAGCGTAGCTGTGGACTCTGTTACATCCTGGTTTTTATTGATCCCTGTTAATCAGTTTTTCTCCAAGAGATCAATGGCGGCTTCAGAACTGGTCCGACTGTGGACGGAAGCTTGAACCTGCAGAGGAGCTTCGGTCCCACGTCTAGAGTTACTCGGCATGCTGATGACAGGCCGCGCTCTATATATACCAGCAATATATACGTCTGCTAGTATTTACGGCCGCGGCACAGATAGAGCCGCTAACACGTGATAGCATGTCAGGGACGGAGAGAGCAGGGAGGACAAAAATGTCTCTTTACCAAAACCAGGTCTGTTCTAGTCGGATACCACTGATCAGGTTGGATTGATTACATACTGAAGGTGGAATTAGCACATCGTTAGCACTAATGGAGCTCATTTAGCTGAAGTGACACACTCTAAATGCCACGTTGTATGAGAAGTTAAGGTAACGGAATAGAAGATAGCATAGCAAAAGCTAACAGAACTGAAGCTAATAGAACAGACGCTAATAGAATAGGAGGTATCATAAGAAAAGCTAACAGAACTGAAGCTAACAGAACTGAAGCTAACAGAATAGAAGGAACCTGAAGAAGCTAACAGAACTGAAGCTAATGGAGTAGAAGCTAACAGAATTGTAGGTACCGTAAGAAAAGATAACACCACTGAAGCTAACAGAACAGGTAGTGAAACAAAAGCTAACAAAACCTGAAGCTAATGGAGTAGAAACTAATAGAACACAAGGTACTGTAGCACAAGCTAACAGAACAGAAGCTAACAGAACAGAAGCTAACAGAACTGAGACTAAGCAAACAAAACATAATGGAACAAAGGCTAATGAAACAGAAGCGACAGGCTGAGATGCTAACTGATTACAAGATGGGGGAAAGCTAACAGAACTCAAGCTAACAGAAAACGCTAATGAAACAGAAGCTAGCAAAACTAAATCTAAGGGCATTCAAGCGAATGGAATTGAGGCTAAACAAACACAAGTTAAATGGTTATGATTAAACACATTCAACAGAAAGTGAATTAAAGTTTAAAGAAGCTCTATCAAAAGAAGAGGCTAATGGAAGAATAGCTAACATGTCTTAAGCTAAAGGCACAGAGGTTTATGAAACAAGAGCTGATGGAACTGAAAATCAGACATTAGTAAAACAGGCTAACGTAACAAACGTTTATGGAACAAAACCCAACAAAACACAGGCTGATGCAGCCGAAGGTAACTGGATAAAAGCTAACAGCAAATAACAGAACTGAAGCTAAGGGAACAAACGTTAGCAGAAGTGAAAGCTAACAGAGCAGAATGTAACAGATCAGAAGCTAACGGGACAGTAAATACTGGGATTAAAGCCAAATAACTAAATATAAGACGCCAGTTTTCTAAATATTTCTTATTGCCAAAATCCACTTTTGTCAGTGGATAAAACCAATAACACTAATAATACTACAAAAAAAGTGCAACCCACAACATTTGTTTTGTTATTAATTGAGCTGTTTAACGAGCTAGCTAGCTGCAAGCTCGTGTGCTTCGTTGCCTGTGAAGTGAATGAGACTGTGCTGCTGTGAAAATCTGCTCCAGTGTGAATGAACATCAAACCAGAGCGAGTTGAGTCATGAAGAGGAAACTCTTCACCAAAACCACCAGTGTGTTCGCTACCAATCTGTCTGAAACTCCAGGCGATGCAAGAAGGGGATTTTATGAGTCCAGATTTCATCTCATTCAGAGAAAAGCAACCGTCACAAGCAGGAAGCAGAGAAACACCGAAACTGGTTCAGAGAATCTAAAGTCGGCTGTTTGAGGCTCAGCGTTTGTAGTTTTGTGTGAAAAAACTGTGATTAAATCTGGATGTAAACCGTTTACATATTTAAGGTTAGTTATTGTAAATGAGTTCAGACTAACGACACTGTGTTGGGCAGCATTCATCTCGTTATACACATTTTAACGTTATTCTAATTAACATTAAATCAAATGTAACATTTAAACATTTCAGCCGAGTCTGATTGTTTTGTGTGTGTACAAGTAATCAAGTAATATACATGTTTTATATCATTTATCGAATTGTGATTTGCATTTTTTTTTCTTATGTATGTGCATCCACATAAAGACACAAACTGACCATAAAGAGACACAACATTGCAAAAGAAATCCATAAAACAGCCATGAAATAGAAAAAATATCAACAAACAGGTGAAAAATAACCACAAAGAGACACAAAACAACCAAAAATAGACCTAAAGTGATGCCGAAGACACAAAACAAGACAAAAAATCTGACAAAATGCCAGAAAATGTCTGCAAAGGGACTCACAAGAAATCAAAAGATGCATCAAACAATCACATTAAGACACAAAATGGCTGCAAAAAGACACAAATACTCACAAAGATGCACAAAAAAGCCACCAAGAGGTAGAAAACAACCACAAAGAG